CGCTGCCTACAAATTGGTGATGTTGGATGGGGTTTATATTTTATTTGTGATGTTTGTGCCGTTTTTCCACCTCCACCAAAAACTTCCCTACCAATGTTGACTACATCAATTCCGCCGCCTTTGCCACTTTTGATGCCTGTACCGCCGACGATGGAAATGACACCTACACCGCCTACACTGAGAAGATCTAAACGTCTTAAAACAGCAAATAAAAAATATTTTAATGAGACGTATGTTACTTATTGAAAGACTAATCATGTATTGGATCATGTTCGGTGTTTTTGTTTTTTGTACTAAATTCCATGTTAGCTACCCTTAAACTCTCTATTATGATCTTCAATGAATGTATAATGATCTAATTATTGTATGATGTATGTCACTGTTATTGACATCAATGAATGTATTTCAAGATATAATCTCGCAATGGCTATTACATATATTGCTGATTTTGGCATGAGTTTTATTCGTGTTACAAATATCTTATATTCACTTATTAAGAATTTATTTATGTAAGTCACTAAGAGTATTTGACTATTTTATATTTCTATTATAATTACCTACATAGAAAATGCAACAAGTAGCCCTTTCAGAGATAAATCCAGATCCTTGCAAAGAGACTCGAATATCTACACTCCATCTCCTCTTAGCAACTTAACAAATGGTATATATTTCTATTCCATATTGATCAATCTTCACGTTTGTGCAATGGGACCAGGTTGATTGTTACTCGACTGGGCAATCATCTTATTCAAGCTACGGTGCTTACGGGGAAAAATATTGGACAAGAAGTTGTTATCCCACGGCTGTTGCTTACACCGTCAGATACCAGGATTCCTTTTAAGTTTCAAAGGAAACAATTCCCAGTAATGATTTCATATGCAATGACAATTAATAAAAGTCAAGGGCAATCATGGTCCGTGTTGGGCTTTTATTGAAGAAGTCAGTTTTCAGCCATGGCCAACTTTATGTAGCGCTTTCACGTGTCACAAATCGCAGAGGTTTAAAGATCTTGATATGGAATGAAGACCCAGCTAAGATGAACCAAACCGCCAATGTAGTTTATAAAGAAGTTTACAAAACTTATAATGTAATAGTTTCACAATCTATATCATTCATATTGCCTGCACTGAAATATTTCATTCTATAGTCTTATGTTAATTTAATCATATCGAATTCCAACAACAATACTTTCACTCATTATTTAGCTTTTAATTGGGCCGTGCAACGCACGGGTTCGAGTCTAGTACAAAGATATACAATTAGATCATATCATACCATAGAACAGCTTCAATGGAGATGCTATAAGCTAAAAAATAGAATGTATACATGTTGTTCAGGTTTTGGTGCTTCAACAGAGCTTCTAATAAATAGCACATCTTCTTAAATCAAAGACAACTGTAGATGAGCTACTTTCGTATTTATGGCGGGGAATGATTCTTGGGTTTGGTGGGTGGATTTTTGTCAGACAATAACCATTAAAAAGAATATAAATATAGCTAATATGCATGATGTCCTTGGAATGCGTCCATAGTTAGAACACAATTCATAGTCTAAATAATGATTTAGCTTACCAATTATACACCATGCCCTTGGAGATGCTCTTAAAAAGTTCAAATCAGAACCAATTCGTCAGATCAAGCAAAGAGAGCAGAGCTCTCATGCTCGGGTAACATAGCTCAGTTGGTTGAAAGGTGGATGTCAAAGGAATAAATTTGAGTTTGATTCCTATAGGCGACAAATCTTGCACGCACTAGGGTTTAATCTTTCAGAAGTGTCAATATGATTTTTGTTTTTTTACTCTTTACATCTCTAATTATTGATCCACTGAAGTTTTCAATCAAATAGTTTAAGCATTTTGCCTTATTCTATGAACTCTATTAGAATGGAATATATTCTACTCATGTTTTCTCTACATATTTAAGTACAAAGAATCAATGATTCAATGCTCCTTAGGAAGTTTGAATATATTATTTTCCATTTGGAAGAGTCACCTGCCGATTGACCACAAGGCCTTTGGCAACAATTTAAGTTTTAACCATTTTATTAGAAAAATAATACTATATCATATAAAAATGCATTTATTAATAACACTTTATAGTTTTATTTTTTACTTTTTTTTATGTCAACTAAAAAGAGCATGTTTAAAAACATTGCACAAGAATGTCGGATTTAAAAATTTCTCCCAAGTGTGTGGGTGCATGTGTGTGTTAATATAAAGTACTCGGTATAAGTTATGGGATTTAGAGAAATCTATTCATTGGGGACTAAGGAGTGTATTTTACATACTACGTAGTAATTTCTCTTATGCGAAAAAAAAACTCAAATTACAAGTACATGACCCAACTATCCTACAAATGTACAATGCATATGCAACTAATTTAATGACCCAACTCAAATCATGATAAAGACTCATCATCTATGGTTCCAAACTGGATCACTATGGTTCTCATGGTTTTTGGTTTCTTTTTTTTTTTTGCAAACCATAAAAGTAACATGGAACCGATTGTTTCTACAGTTCATGTTAGCAACTCATATGGTTCGTGATTTAACCAAGGACCGTGGCCAACTCTAGTCCCGCTCCAAGAAACCTGCACTCTTTCAGGAACTATGATGTTCTCTAGGTTTGGTTCGGCGATTTATACTCCACCACAGTATCATATGTCTCAATAGAGAAAGGGCTCTCAGCGAAACATCTGCCCATAATCGATTATTCAAACACTATTACTATTACTATCATTATCGTTATGGTAAGTCAACAACGTACGAATTTGACCACGTTACCTAAGCTCGTGCCAGAACAGTTCAGCTTTATCGTGCAAGAAAGGCCTGAGAGGGGTAAGAAATTCATCCCTCGTGTATCGTTCTCCAGAAGAAGCTTGGCCACTTCTCCCATTTGTGGAGACAAAAAGTGAGGTGGCAACATGTACGATAACGGATGGATTAGGGTCGTGAAGTATAGCCTCAAGCTCCCTCTGTATCCATGGCTCTATTCTTTGTACGACCATAGATTTAACCCCATTATTGTCCTCCATTTTCTGGGAAGTTTGTCAGAAAGAATATTAGTCTCTAGGTCTCGAAGAGTTTCTTTGTCAGTACATATCTAAGAATAAATATCATGTGTAATCTGATAATTACAAGGATCATGCTATACATAGTTAGAAAAATTTGACAAGAACCACCTAGAAAAATATGTGGTTTGCAAATAAATTCCAAGCATTTTTTTGAAACGCCTAGATAGTTATTTTTGGCTTAGTGGAGCCATCAAAACACTAAATTGTGGTGAAAAATTGAAATCACTTCCCAATTCGCCCTTCATTTCTAAAACAGTTTAGGCTGATGGTTGACATTGGCAAACACACATACACACCAACCCACCCGGCCACCCCCACCCCAGCCAAGCATTATCAACCTCCCCACCACCTCTTCCACCAAGCCCACCACTTATCTACCAAGGGTGAGTAGAGAATTTCATTTAAATTTTGACTCCATAATGAAATTTAGTAGCTACACTCGATGGAAAAAGGTTTTAGGTGGTTGTTCTTTTAAAAAACAATGTTGGGAGGTTTCTCGCAAACCACTTATTTTTAGTGGTTCTTGACAAATCTTTCTAATAATTATGAAGTGAGATGGACCTACAAGAAAAGCCATACCTCTAAAGCACGATTCTTAGATGCGAAAGGGACAGCCTGCAATTTCATTTCATATATACTGCAAGAAGAGTAAGCATTGTCATGTTCACATAAAATATCTAGAACTTAATCTCAGGGAATATGAATTAAAAGGAAAGGGTTCATATGATTTATCCATGGTCGATGGTTCCAAACCTTTCCCGCCATTGAAGTTTTCTCTGATTGATGACACCGAGGCTTGCATCATCGAATGTGCCAAATGACCTCATCCTCGGATATTCTCTCATTCTTGAGCATTGGGTATTTCGGCGTGCTCTTCTTCTTCTTATAAACCTGGTCAACAACCCCCCTCAGTATTGAACATTTCAGCCTCCCACACCCTCTACTTGATAGAATCACAATTCAAAATATTAAACAGAAAATGACGTGTTTATAAATTCTTAATTTAAACTAGCTATTCGATCAAATTCAATCTTCCGGTGTTATTAGACCCAATTGTATTATAGCCATCACATTTCTAAAACATTGACATCTTATAATTATGATTTTTTTTAGTATGTTCTTTTCAACATAAAATTACAATAAATTTTCAGTGAAGTCGAGTTTAATTAAATTCTAAATTTCAGTACAAAAGAACATACTCTTTTCAATGAATGCACAGCTTTATTCAAAGACCAATCTTCTAGTTAAGAAAAAAATCAATTTTATTCTACAAGCTAAATTCATGAAATAGGGATATTTAAAACTAATTTCAGATCCAAATATACCTCAGCTCCTCGGAGGGGTTTCTCAGTCGTGCCGGAAAACCTAAGGGCGGCGGTCCATAATCCAGTGGAGTTTTCTTAAGGGTTCGAGAGGAGAGATCAATCACGAGGAGTGAAGAGCCAAAGGGAGCCTTGCAAAGTGGACACACGCGCTTGTATCCGCTCCACCTGCGGATGCAACCCGCGCAAAAAGCATGTCTGCACAGCGGAAGGAATCCGGCCCGGTCCGGCTCGATTTCACAGAGGCATATTGGGCAAGCTTTATGAGATGTGGCGTCGATGGTTCCGGAGAGATCAGAGGGTTCTGCGGACAGGCGCTTGTGTAATCGGTTCTGGGTGCTTCTTTCTGGGGAAGGAGCCATGGGGCTGAAAACAGATTGATTAATGGAGTCTAGGTGGAGAAACAGATCTTTCAACCTGATCGATGGAAACAGATCGATCAAACTGAAAATAAAATAGGTTTCGAAATTGCGAAATTGAACCGCAAGGTGATATGGGAAATTCAGAGTGGATGGACGAACTCGGTGCTCGACGAACAGTAGGAAAGGCAAGCCATGTTTGGATTGAAAAACGATGGAAAAAAGCGTGTCGCCGAATGTTTTACTCAAATTTGTAGTACTAAAATATACTTGTACTCAGTATAATAGTACTATATGTTATTTTTTTAATATACTATTTTAACTTTTTTACTCCGTATTTCTTAAATAGTATTTGAATAATTGCTAGTGGTGGGAATGATGTCTAGTGATGGTGGACATTTAATTTAGTTTTAATAATATCCCGTGACCGTGTACATTTGCTTGAATAAGAGCAACTCCAAGGTGTAGTGTATATTGTAAAATATACACTATATACAATTTAATGTTGCCTTTTCAACACTCCAATGGATAGGATAAACCAAGTGGTAAAATGCAATGTAGTGTAAAAAACAATCTCCAAAGTGTATTTTTACAATTTCACTATAGATAGTGGAAAAAATTTAAAATTAATTTTCTTCATTTTTTTCCATCCCTCTTCTCCATTTTCATTAATACAAGGTATTTATTACGTTTTTTAAAAAAATCATTAAAAATAAATAACTTAAAACAATGAAATATTATAAAAAGTGTATTATATAGAAGATATGGTTGGAGTAAGTATAAAAAAATGGAAATGTAAAACACTATTGATAGTGTAAAATGAAATTTACACTACCAATTTTTACACTACACCTTGGAGATGCTCTAATGACCAGTAAACAATGACCAATGATATTATATTGGTAATAAAAACATATGATACTAAATTAGAAAAGTCACTGTGTTTTAGTACTATTTAGGTAAATTTCCCAATATTTTTGGGAGAATAGAAAAGGGTGTAGATACGCTCCCCTCTCCCGTCCACCTGCCAAAATGGTCTAATAACGATAACCTAATACGGAGTAACAAATATGGAAGGAAGGATGAGAGAGTAATTTCACTTTGAACAAAATGATAGGCTAACAAATACTCCGTAGGAAATTTTAAGGTAGAACGATAAGAGAAACTTTTTTAGAATATTTTGAAAAAGCAACCTACCAACTCCACTTTTGTTTTTTGAGTACGCCACAAAAGCATTCTTCATCCTCATTCTGGAGATTCAAATATTTTGAGATCAGTGATTTCCGATGGAGCGAGTTACGATCAACTTATATTGGAGTCGAAGGGGTGGAAGAGAGCAAATAAATTGAAAACACACAACTTGCAAAATGAAGGAAGACAAGTTTTTGGAGAGTTTTTGTTCTAACTCTTCCGATTTTGTTTCGCCCATCCTTGTTTTTTATTTAAATTTAAAAATGAAACGTCGTTAACACCTTGTTACTTGGCCTCCTTTTTTCATTTTTTAAGACGCGTGTCATCATTAAACGCCTGGACATTTTGCTCAATTCACACTTACAGGGTAGTTCGCCAAATACGAAACTTTTTCGACGTTTTGATAAATGCTAACAGAGTCATGTAAAGGATTGACGGTGCTGGAGACACCGATGAACAATGAGAGGCGATAGAACGTGCTCGACAAATAGTTGGTAAGACAATCGATGTTTGGATTAGAAAACGATGAAGAAATAGATACGCTGCCGTGACGAGAATAACAAATATCTTTATTAGGATAGAAAGTGCCCTAGAAGCGCCCCTGCTACAACAACGGTGTGAAACGATAATCTAACAATGGCCATGTTTGGCATCAGCGTTAGAAATTAACGTTAGAGTTTTGAAAAGGTCATTCGATGATAGCCTTTATCGTTAGCATTTTTAGAATTAATCTACACCATTAAAATTGTATCTAAAACAGTAACGCTAAATGAAAACATTGTTCCCAAACAAGGGCAATGACAATTAAGAGCTTGTTCTTTAGAGCTTAAACTCTCAACTTCTAGTTTCTAACAGTTCCTTCCAATTTCTTTCAGTGTCCTCTAGTTTCTTCCAGTTCCTTCTAATTTCTTCCAGTTCTTCCAGTTTCATCCAGTTTCTTCCAGTTCCTTCCAATTTCTTCCTACTATTCTCATTTTCTTCCAACTTTTTTCTATTCTCCAATCAATTACTCTAAAAATGATATATTTTAAATGTGATTATTATTATTATTATTATTATTATTACAACTGTTATGTTCATAACTAGTTTATAAAATATTTTTTTCATCTCACTATTTTTACGATTCACACTCATTATTTTGTTCTTCAACTTTTTAATATGAATAAGACAATTTTATGTATATTAATATAAATTATAAAACAGGAAAACATCAATATATTAAACTATATTAAAAAAATTATGGATAAAATAGTGACATAGAAAAAGACTAAAATAGGAGTAAAATAAAAAAATGTAAAAAAAGTTATGTATTTATTTCTAAAATAGGACTTCAAAGAAAATAAAATGTCAATTATGAAAGAAAAAATAGGTTTGATTACATTATGTAACATGTCTGATATTTAATTATTTTTTTTGTAATTTATAAAGTAGGATTACAAATATATTATTTATAATAAATACTGCATAAATAAATTGAGGTGCAACATAATCAAAAAAAATTTTTTAAAATTTAATATTTTTATATTTATGCTAGCTTTATATTATAATTATTTTTTTGCAAAAGTAATTTCTGTATTTGAAAAATAACAATACTTTTTTTGTATCTTAAAGGCATTCATTAAGATAATGTGGTGATGATGGTGATGATGATAATATAATAACAATTTAAAACAACAAGAATTTAAAATAAATTTTTTAAAGTTTTTTTAGGTTTTCTAGTTTCTTCCAGTTTTTTTCCAATTCTTTTTAGTTTTTTCAAGTTCTTCCAATTCTTTTCAATTTTTTCTAGTTTTTTTAATCTCCAACTTTTTTTTTTCGAGCCGTATGGGACATGTCCTAAGAACTATGGAAAGAACGATAAGCCACTAATTTCAATTATGGAAGGAATTGAAACTCGATATGGTGGGAATGTGGGATGTGAATATGTGATGAAGTTCACGGACGTGTTCCGGGTTTCGGATAAAGAAAACACAAGCTTTTGTTAGTGAACTTCACTGAGTCCATTGGATCGGAGTGTTATTGGCTGAACCAAACAGACAGACAGCACTTTGAGATGCCTCTGAAGCAGAAAGAGGATTCGAAACGAAGGGCGGGTCTGGATTTGGCTCTCCCTCGCGCTCTCTCCCACTTCCAATCTCACCCTTCTTTTCCACCGCCGTCGCCAACCTCAACCTCCGCCGTTCTCAGTCCCCTCCCCCACGCCGATTCTCAATCGTCCATGGAAGTGCCCAAGGACCATGTGGCCACTCTTCTTGAAAACAACCTCTCTTCCTCCCTCCAGACGCTCGTATGCTCCCACCATTTTATCTGAAACCCCACTAGGGTTTTTCCCCCCTTTTTAAATTGAAGCCCAGTTCTTGAACCAGTATTTTCTGATAAGATTTCGTGTTCGTTTCTGTTTTTGTCAATTGAACTAGGGATGTTTTCTTGTTTCGTCGAGCTCGGAAACCAGCCCGCAGGCCAAAGCTGAGAACTTGGTTTGTAGTTTTTGTTTGTGAGATTCGGATTGTGTGCATTGCGGGCTTACTCAGTGATGCTTGTTTTGAAGTTCTGTCCAGTTAACAATGGAATTTGATTTTCAGATGCTACTGGGGGATGCATTGTTTCGAGAAAAGGAGTACAGGAGAGCTATTGTGAGAAAATGCCTTTAATTCGCACTTTAAAGTTCAAGCTGGTATCATGATTTTTTTTCTGTCTAAATGGAAAAGGTAAACTCTTTTTTACTACTTTTGGCAGCATACGTATAAGCAAGTATTGCAACTTCACAAAATGATCCCTAAGCAAAGCACAGTGACAACAAGAAGCTCAGTGCCTGCACCCAACAAATATGGTTCCCCAAGCTTTTCAACCACAATTGAGAACGAGGTTCCTTGAGCTTTATTAACACCTATGGTTTTTTATTTGGGTCTTGTTCATATTTGTGGTTGTTGGTCTTTATTTCTGCTGGATATTCAAATGTGATTCATTGCAGGTGAAGTTCAAAATTGCATCATCCCATTCTGCATTGAACGAGAATAGAGCAGCACTTCTTGAGGTGTGAGTATAGACCAACATGTAATCTAGTTACGTTTTTCTAATGGATTTTTTTTCATGGACATTTGTTGTCTGAATAAATGATGATCTGTTTATGACTCTTGATTTAGACTTGAGAGTCTGTCTTAGGATCAAGGTGATCATCATTATTTAGTCAACAGATTTCTGTTGGATAAAGTTTGCTGAAATTGTTAGTTTGTTATTGCCTCCTCATTTGTGGTGGTTTGCCGACCTTATTCTACAGATGGAGGGAATCCCAAGCAAAGCAAGAAACTTGCAGATGAATATGATGATGGGAAAACTTTATCGAACTTCTAGACATACTCGTGCATCTATTACTTGCTATAAAGAGTGTTTAAGGTTGTTTATGGTAATTTGTTCATTTATCATTTCGTCTCAAACCTTTTAGGGTGCACAAGTTTTATTTTCATTGTCTTTCACCATTTTCATATTTCGCTACTGTGTTAAATGCTACTAGGAAACTACTTATGGTTGTAGTTGCTAGTCTGTCAAGGTTTATTGTATTCTTTTATTGTAAGGGTGATGATAGTCCGTGCTGCTCAAACTACAATCATCATTTTGATAATGTGGGCAATCATTCATTGATAGGCACTGTCCTTATATAATGGAGGCTATCACAGCATTGGCAGAATTAGGTGTTGCGGCAAAGGATATTATTTCACTGTTTCCTCAGGTTATGCTTACTGAAATTACTCCGATGTGTATATGTTCTATTTTTAGACAATAATGTATGTAAAAGTACAAGTACAAAAGCTTGACTTTTTATAAGTGGAAGTTCAACTTCAAGTCTTCAACCATAGTTGCAATAGCTGTTTGCCAGTTTACTTGAAGTATTCACTCATATATTTTTTTTAAATACTCCCTCCGCCCCCCTAAGATGTTCTCATTTTGACTTTTGGTGGTTTTTAAGGAGAGTTGAAAAAAGGTGAAAGTTTACCATAATACCCTTAATGAAATATGGGTAGAGTGTATTAAATGAGGTGG